CTCTGGTCGACATGGTTAGAAAGGAATCGCCGGATCTTCTTAGGAAAGGAGCTTTCCGTTGGCATCATCTTTGAAGCTATAGTGTCTATGGTTGTATCTTGGTGTAAATGTTCTCCTATCTTTAAACACTATAGCTTTGTTTCTCTTTTAACCAATTGGAGAGCCTTTTTGTAACTCCCTTGGTTTGGGATCTTCCCCTTTTGTTTCCTTTTCCATTTCATTACATTAATGAAATTTGTTTCTTTCACCAAAAAAAAAAATTAACTATACGGAAAATGGCTCGTTTTGAGGCATTCATCCTTTTTGATGGGTTGTCTTTTCACATGATCCTTTGTATTCTTTCATTTTTCTTCAATGAAAGCTTGATCTTCATAAAAAAAACATTAGAATCATTTAGCGGATGCACCTTCGAATCAAGTTGCATAACAATATTGGCAAAACAAGTTTCTAAACTTGCATGCTTAATTTTACKAGAAGGAATTGGATAATTGATAACATTTTACAAGGTTAGGACACACAAATCCTCTATTTTATGGATAGTGTTGTTGTCAGACACGTCCAACACGTACACGTGCCCAAAATGTGTTCGACACATTAAGAAAAGAGTGTTTGATTATTTAACTCTCTTTAATTTTCTAACACATTGGTAACATATTAAGAATACGCTAAAGACATGTAAAGAACGCATTTTGGACCCTTTTTTTTTCTTTCGAGAAAAAAAGGCATTTTGGATTAAAACCCCACTACCCACTAGAAAATGAAGGTAATTGAAAACTCACGTTAAAAAAATAAGGATAAAATACTATTTTGTTTCATGTATTTTCAGCTTTGGTTCATTTTAGCTCCCGTACTATCAAAATGTTCATTTTGGTGTCAGTATGTTCAATTTTGATTCATCTTAGTCCAAATATTTTCGAAATGTTCGTTTTGGTCCCTGTCATTATAAAAAGTAACCATATTGGTCCTTATTTATAAAAATTTAACACAGATTGTACATATAACAGAAACCTTTTAATATAAAGTCGTGGTTACATTTCAAGAAATATATTGGGTATATAGAGTTGTGTTGAAATTGTGATAGAAAAAGATGAGATTAAAAATAAAATTAAGARACCAAAATGATCCATTTTTAAAAATATAAAGACTAAAATTAACATTTTGAGAGTACATGTACTATGAACCRAAATTGAAGTACAAGAAAAGTATCGGAACCAAAATGAACTCAACGCTGAAAGTATAGGGACCAAAATAGTATTTTAACCAACAAAATAAAATAAAATAATCTAAACTAAACTAAACTGAGTATATTAAAAAGAAAAGAGAATAACTTTTTTTATTCTATTTTAAACTTTGTTTTTGTAAACTAATAGATATTGTTTGTTGTCTCCACTATTATTAGTGAATGTTATTTTTTATGTTTAAATTTAGATAATAACTTCTGCTTCCAATGTCAAATATTTAAGATACGTCAAAATAGACAAACATAAACACAGACGTATATATATCAGAAAAACTAATGTGTCCTTTTTTAGAAATTGGCATGCAACCATGCCCATGTCATATCTGCGGTGCATGTCCATCTTTGTTTTTGTGCTGCTTAACTTCTAAGTTTTCATCATTTAGTGTTTTAAATACACAAATTTGTTCATGCACTAAATAATCAAATGAAGGAATAAGTAAATTTACTTTAAAACAAGTAAAGAAACATCTTTTGGGAGAAAATATGTAGCTACATGGCTAAGCCACCAAAGAAATAGTCGGAGAACCCCAACCTCATCATTATCAATTGCAAGCATGTATTACATGGTTTTCTGTGCAGGAACCAACAATTTTGTCATCGATTACTTTGCATGAAATACATAGTTTTTAGATGTCACTAGTGTTCAAAATCTATATTATTCAAATGGTTTTTATAATTAAACAATCAACACACACACTGAGCTCAGAGTCATTAAAAATTTATAGATGATTTTATATGAATGCAAAAAATTTGGATAGCTACATCCATGGTCAACTTAGATCTTAGAAGTGTCTCTGCACACTAAAATTTTTAAATCACTAATCCTAGAAGCTCTAAAAGGAATGATAATTAATAACTGGGCCAACACATTCAAAAAGATAATACCAGCTATTGTTGTATTAAAAAACTCTGTGATCTGACAATTTGAGCTGTATCCAGCTGAATGATGAAGCCATATATCAAGCAACTGAAAGCTGTGAACCAAAATGGCCTGCAAAAATTTCCACATGCCACATGCCACATGCCAAAGGACGAAACGTAAAAAGAAAAAAGAATGAGCAGATAGCCTGAAAGGCCAATACGATCAGAAATAGAAATTATCATCTTGAAAATTCCAAGGAACTTACCTGTAACGTCTCAAAAGCAATGCTTAAAGGCTCAAAGAACAACAAGAGAAACAAAGATAAACCCAGTGTTCGGTATATCATCAGACAGAATCTTATCCTGCACAAACCAGCAAAGCATAAGGGCATATCCTCAGCTATCCAATGATAAAAGCTTCAAGTGCATGCCATAATTTATCAAAGAGACTATTGTTTCATTTCTAGAGACACTCAGAGAGAATTCAGAACACATTCCAATATGAATGACATTGACAACAATAATTCATGATATTCATGRCATTAGGGTAGAGGGGCCAATCCTTGCATTGTACTTATGGTCGCCCCACTAATCACTGGAGAGGTTTCATGTAATGTGTTCTCGTTGTATTTTTGAACAAGAAACAACTTCTTGTTGATTAATGAAAAGGAAACAAGTTCAAAGGATACAATCTCATAAAGGAAAAGAAAAAAAATAGAAACTAGAGAACTCAATAAAAGAGAAGGGAAATACAACCCAAAAAACAAGAAAGATGAAAACAACAATGAGGAGCAAAACCGGCTGAGGAGTACCTCGGGACAAACTGAAGACCTTCAAAACTATGATATGACCTTTGGAAACCCAAGGCACAATTAAGACCAAATCATTAAAGCAAAAAGTGACCTTTCAGTTTCAGCTTTAATTAAGAACATTTATCCATGAGGAGGGAAGAGATGAACAGACTTCTCATTAGTGCCCAAATATACAAGCCTCAAAGCTGCCTTAAAAGAGATAATATCCTCGAGCTATAAAATGACCTTTGGAAAACAAGGCACAATTAAAACCATATCATTAACTGGTTAATCTGGCAAAGATGTACTTCATCTTGAACCTGATGAAAGAGAGCAACTTTCTTGTGTACTGCAATACATATTGCTAACACCTAAAACTGACTCCCATCTACAAAGACGCTCACTTTTCCGAACAAGATATACAATCAATGGTAAGATTTGCAACATAATGATAGAAAGCGGAAGTAGTGAGAATATTTTGTCAAAAAAGTTGGTTTCTACTCTTAACCTCAAGGCAAATCCACATCCTACTCCTTATAAAGTGCAGTGGTTCTGTAGCTAAGGTGTGGCTTCTAAATCTGCTAACACCATGAAAAATATGAAGAGAAGATATCTAAGCAATATGAACATGCACTACTGTTTACATTGCCTGCAAACTAGGCAGAAAAGAATTAAGAAATTGTAACTAATACAAACAAACTACATACCATGCAAGTAAAAATGCAAGTATAAACACAAAATAAAGAAATGTAAAAACAGGAAAACACAATTGTTTCATAAATGAAGCCTAAAATTCCATGTTCCCACAATTTTGGATACCTTTACACTGGAAAAAGAAAATTAATCATTACCCAGAAAGGTCAACAAAGAGGACCAGCAATAATACAGAATACACACGAAAATATGTCCATGAAGTGGCAGAGGGTGATGCATTCAGACGTTCAAGACGATCTCTAGCCAATGCTTGAAACATCTGTACAATATGCCAATGTAATAAGCGGAGTCTTTACATGAAACTAATCGGCCAAAATCCAGAGTAAAAATTGCACCATTTACCTTCAATGAACATAAGACAGCCAACCAGATTGACCACAATGCTGCATGATATTTTGTTGGTGGAACAACCAGAGGTAGAAATGTTCCCTGTTTCATGTTCATTAAAAAATAAAAACTTACAAAATCATAACCATTCTATATATATATGCGTGTTTGTGCACGTATGTGATTGTAATATGCATGTAGGTCAGTAGGAGAGGATGAGAAATACTCTTACAAAGGAGAAAATAATAAATTAAAATAAAATAAAAAGAGAGACATAAACTTGTCCATCTAGGGTACATTTAAGCAAAAGTAATACCAAGATTAAAAGACTTTAGAAATTTACATCAAAAGAGCAAAGAAATTACACAAAGGATTGCCAATCAATCAAAATTTACATCAAACGAGAAGAAGTAACAAAAAGGTTGTCAATTGTCAAAGTATTGATAAATGATTAAATGTACCGTAACTCGTTAACTTAAATTTTTTTAGTTCAAGGGTGATTTAACATGGTATCAGAGCAGGAGATCTTGTGTTCAAACCCTGTAATGTTATTTCCTTCCGATTAATATTGATAACTAGTTATGGGCCTGATACAAATTTTCAAGTCCACAAGTGAGAGGGAATATTAAGGTAGTTGACTAAATCTAACGTAACTCATTAGCTTAAGCTTTCAAGTGGTGATTTAACCCTAATAAATCTTTTAAATATGATTAAATCACCCGTGAACCCAAAAGTTTAAGTTTGGTTAGGGTAAATTTAATCATTTGTAAGATATCTAACATCCTCTCACTTGTAAGCTTGGAATTCCTTAAACAAGCGCCAGGAAAATGGAGCTTACAGCGTTGAGTTACGTCGTAGGCGAAGCTTTCGATTCRATTTGYATAAGACTCATCAAGTGGAAATCAATATTAAATGGAGAAGACAGGACAATACAAGGGTTCAAATACGAGACTTCCTGCCCTGCTAGCATTTTAACTATGATTAATTCACCAATGAACCCAAAATCTTAAGATTAGGATAAATTTAATCATTTATATAATATCTAACAAAATCATTAAAACTGAAAGAGAGTAATTTATAGAAAAAAAGGGTAAAGAAAAAAGAGTTCAATGCCGACAATATCCTTGAATTTGTTCTTGCTTCTTTATTCTCTAGTCCTTTCTAAAAATTTCCTGGCCTCGAGCCCTCCTTGATCAAGAAATCAAGAAGTTGGCTTCTCTTTTTGGAGCTWGTAGAAATTCATCATGTAGAGAGCTACAGCTCATTGGGCAGGTTATCTTTAATGGCTCTTGGATTTGCATTTTTTAAGGACCTTTGTTGTTTCATTTGTTGTTTTTTGCAGCCTCAATTTTCAACAAATTTGCAAGTTCTATTTTAGTTATGCATTTTCTTTTCTTGTTTCTTTTTGACACAATAAATTAATTTATGAATTTAGATTTATATATTAAAAGTTAATCTAATAAAACATAATTTGAATTAAATGAAAAGCAGGGAATTAGAAAAAGCTAATTCATTTGTGTTTCAAAAACTAAATAGCTTTAAGATACTACAGCCAAATGCATTCTAAATTGTTAATGGATTTCAACTACATCGTTTTTATAGTTTTCAGTGTCCTCACATTTGGTTTGAGATTAAAAACAAAACAATCCATAGATTTAACATGCACCAACTCATTGTCTTCAAGAACTACTACAGTAAATATGTAAAACAGCAATAATCTACACTCTACAGCCAACCCAAAGTTAGATCATGAGCTAACCATCTACAAGAGAAAAACAATATTTTTTTTTTTTAAAAGGGAAATAGATCAAGTTGGATACTAACCTTGTAAATGACATAATTAACAAGACGCTCCACCAACTTCCGACTCTCAGATGAATATAGCTCAACAAAAAATATGGTCTGCTGACAAAAAATCTATAAGTATCAAAACAAAGATCTTGGGGGAAAATACAAGCAATAATTATTGCAATTTTACGATCAAATAGTCATGATCTTACATTAGATGATTATGAGGAAATGGCTTATATTGAAAGGTTTCTTGAATTTGCATTCTAGAAAAAATTAAGCTTAAAAGTGGCACCTTATATTGAAAGGTTTTTGGAATTTGAATTTGCACTCATTCAAACCACCTTATCGAACCTCCCTACTTACTATCTTTCCCTTTTTCCTTTGCCATCAAAAGTGGCACATACATTGGACAGCACAGCATCTTCAAGGTTTATGTGGAAAGGTAACAGGGAGAACAATGGAATGCACCTTCTCAAAAGAGTCACTTTACAACAACCAATCCAAGAATGGGGCTTAGGGATTGCTAATATGAAACTGAAAAACAGAACTCTCCTTGCAAAATGGAATTGGAGATTCATTAAGGAGGAAACAACTCTTTGGAGGAAAGTGATCGAGGCAAAATATGGTAGAGCATCTTGGAACCACAAACCTATCACTACTTCACACCCCAATGCAAAATGCCCATGGGCTACCATTGGAAAGACTCAAATCTGATTTTTGAACGGCTGGCCTACAAAACCGGAAATGGCAGGAATGAAGTCTCATTCGAAGCTTTAGACAAAGGTGCATATCTCTTTGAGAAGATGGAAAGCCCTTTCAAGAGCTTTGTTAGCACTCTTTTGGGATCGCCCATGGATGAATAGTGTGCCCCTTAAACAATCCTTCCCTCYCCTTTTTGCTTTATAATCAAGAAAGGAGGCTCCAATCTCTGATTTCTGGAATGAACCTACAGCATGCTGGAATTTGGGATTAAGGCGGAATCTTAAAGATGATGAGATAATTGAATGAGCAGACCTAAGCTATCGGCTCACAGAGGGCCAATTAACAACAGAAAGGAATGTTCTATTCTGGAAACTAGAAGCAAATGGATCTTTTTCCACCAGCTCCCTCACAAAGCACCTCGCCTGCAGCAACCAAACACCCTGAACTAGCCTCTACAACACTATCTGGAAGGACAAGTGCCCAAAAAAGGTGAACTTCTTCCTATGGGAGCTTAGTCCGTGCCATCAATACCAATGACAAGCTTCAAAGAAGATTCCCCTACATGGCTATCTCTCCTCAGTGGTGCATCATTTGCAAGAACAGCTTGGAATCTCAACAACATCTATTTACCACCTACACCTTTGCTTATGAATTTTGGAAGGATATCCTCAGTACTTTTGGTTGGTCCACAGCTTTGCCAAATGACCCCCAACTTCTCCTTGAGGCCACCCTTATGGGACACGCCTTCAAGAAAGAAAAGGAACAGCTATGGACAAATTTCATTCGAGCATTTCTATGGACTACTTGGGGTGAACGAAATCAAAGGACCTTCAATTACAAGACACAATCTTTTGAACGTTTTTTTGATGCTATAGTGTATAAAGCTATATCTTCGTGTGAGACCTTTCCTATTTTCCATGACTATAGCTATACATCCCTCTTGTTTAATTGGAAGTGTCTTATATAACCCATCAATGGGCTTTTTGTAACCCTTCCATGGGCTTTCGTAATTTCATACATCAATGAAATTGTTTCTTACATAAAAAACAAAAACAAAAACAAAAAATTAAGCTTAAAAATAATCTCTAATACAAGTTGAGTTTTTACATGCTAACAGAAGTTTTTGTATCACAATATACCCCATGAAATATAAGAGATGAGTGACTGTGAATATCATTGCTGGCCAGTATTACAAAGTTCCAGAATTACCAACATGTCCTCCCAAGAATTCTCCTACAAAATCCCTGTGCAAATGCTACTGCTTTCTAACTACTTATAGTTATCCCTCCCCCTAGGAGTTGTTTGGTATCTGATCTGCTTTTGTTTCATGCTTTTCAAAAAAAAGAGATGCTACAAGTAAGTACACAAAATTCACATTTGGCAGGCTTGTTTTGTTTTTTTTAAAGAGAAACCATGCTTTCATTTTATGCAAAAAAAAAATGAAAGAATACAAGAGCGTACAAAAAAAACAGCTCAAAAAGTCAAACCCAAAAGGAGCCCAACTAAAAAAAGAGGTTCCAATCAAGCACAATAAAACCTAAGGGATAACTGCAAAAGCCCTTAAGCATTGAAGCCCAAAGAGAAACATGGAAACTGAAAAAAGGACCCGGCCTTCTCCCAAGGTCTTTCAATCCCTCCAAAGATTCTATTATTTCTCTCAACCTAAATACCCCAAAGAGAAGCACAAAAACAGGCCAACCACAAGCAAGGGCACTTAGCACAAAAGGGCGAGTAAAGAAGGACCCCCCTCTGCCATCGAACTGCATCCTATGGATTATGTCAACTCTACTCCACTAGTAAAAATAGGTAGCAAAGGAGAAGAAGCACTACGCCTGGGATTCAACATCACGAAACTTTGTTATCAACTTATCAATTATCCCTTTTCTTTATCGGGATCGAAACTTAGAAAATGGAGGAAGTGATTCATTCCAATTTGTTCCCTGCCAGCCTTATTACCTTCAATATGCCTATTCTCTATACCACTATACAGCAGTCAGCAACCTACTCAAAACATTTGCTATTAACACAAATAGAATGGGAGACAAGATCACCTCTCATACCTATGGTAGCAACAATCTTCCTTCAACATTTCAATGACAAAAACTAAGAATTTTGTTCCACTAACACAGTTATAAATCCACTTAATCCACCATCATCTCGTATCCTTTCTGTCAGTTAATCACTTTTGAAACCCAAGCCCTCTTTTTACTCACCCTCTGTTCTTCAAAAACTTCCGTAGCAATAAGAACAGAGGTTTAAAGTAACTGTCTTCCTGCTATTTACTCTTAAAAATCATGTCAATTCCCTTATAAACCATGTGAAATGGTTAGACACTGTAGATTCTGTGGCCCATTAGCATTGGTAATAGAAGATCTAATTTACCATTCCAACTTTTTTTCCCATCTAAAAAGGTGAAAATCTAACTCACATTAATGCCATTCAAATTGCCAAATATTTTTCCTTCTAATTTTTTCTTACAGTTATCAATTACATTATGTCACTCATATACATCAATAATCGAGCATTGGAAAAAAGAAAACATGAAAGTTCTACAATGCTTCCTAAATCAGACCGCAAATATTATGTAGTATTGTATTGTTGCGTTAAAATTGAGAGTTATCAAAAAAATAAAATGATAAAATAAATAATAAATGATTGAGAGTTCATAGCTTCTTACTTTCTTTGCAATACAAAGCTCCCAAAAGAAATGATAAACTTACCTTGAGAAATAGTATGAGTAGAACAAACACATTAAGTGCAAAGTTAGCCAGCAGTCCCACAGTGACGTAGGAACTTAAGAGCAAATCAATGACACGGCCAGCACTCTCCGTCTGAAAAGGATTTTCTCCAATTATTTTTTCTGATTTTAGGTTTTCTATCGATAACTCCGTCCATAACTGGAGACCAACAAAACTTAACACTGTACATGCCGCAGATATTGCTATATAACTGACACCCATTGATATTAGTTCAGCAACTAACTTTACWAAGACCCAACTTCAGGAAAGTCATCACAATGGAAGCTGCATTGTTCTTTTCCACTAATACTCAGCATCATCGCCAAACATGGACAAAAAAGGTGCCTATCTATCTACTCAGTCTCTGAATCGATTTGTTAGCTGCAACCTTCCAAGCCGAAAAACATTTACCTGTCAGAAAGAAAGAGTCTGCGACATCAGATGAAATGGCCACATAAGAACAAGAATTTCTCAAATCAACAAAAACGAAGATCAAGTACGGAAACCTCTTGATTCATTTTAAGTAACGCAACGGTAAAAGTTACCCGACAAATGTATCATTTCTACAATATAGCCATAAGCACTCAAAAACTCACTTAATTCCATGATTATTCTAAAATCCCGAGAAGGTGAGAATCAAAATAAATTCATCAAATAGAGTAGACTGTAAATTCAACCAGGCATAGACAACAGAAGAGGGACGTCACGGAAGGAGCAGTATTGCTCAAAACGTCAATTCAATCCAATCTGGGATCACAGATCATAAAAATAAAAACCCCACGAAAACCCGGTGCTAAATCTCAGAGAAACTATACAAGATGAGCAGAATACAGAGAATCCAAGCAAAGAATTTCAACCAATTAGACTTCGCTTTCGAGATTGATCAAGCTGACAGATTAAAAAAGAAGATCAATCAAATCGTGCAGTTTAGGGAAATTAGGGACCTGATTCAACCAAGATGAAGCTTCGGTGGTGTCGGTGCGAGTCTCCGTAATCGTAAATCATCAGCGTCGCATTTCTCAGAGAGATTTTCGTATTTTCTTTTTTATTTTAACAATTAATTTATTTTGGCGGGTGTACCTGCGTTAGATGCATTCTTCGTCTTCCTTTCGTTCAACTCTGTCAGGTTGGCAATTGACATGGTAAATTTGATTATTTTATCTTGTTTTGATTATTTTATCCGTGGAAGGTACCAAGTTTTTAAATATATGTCTCACTYTCGTGAAAATATCAATAAAATATCTTATCGATATTTCTACAGATGCGAGAGGGATTAAAAAATTATAAAAAAATATTTAAATTAATAAATAAATATTATTCTATTTTTAAAATGATAAATATTAGTGATATTTTATATATTTTATCAACTTTTTTGTAATACGATGGATATGTTGATTTACCCGGTCGAACTCATGAATACATAGAAATATAATTGGTGTTGACTTGTTGATGGATATTTAATATCATGGTTGATCTCTAATTTCGTAATTAGTGAATCAAAGAAATAATGTATGTGCTTTTTTGTTGGAGTAAGCATTTAACCTTTTTTTTCCCTAAAGATGGAAACAACGATTTAGCTATAAATATTTGACCTTTAAAGTTTGATATATGTAATAATTTAATCTTTTTTTAGTTCAACTACCGTAGAGTTGGAGATAGAATCGTCGACCCTATAAATGGTCATGCATATTGTTGATGTGTAAGTTTAGTTAGATTGATTAACCACATATCGCATCAAAGGGACTTGACGTTAACATGCAAAAATAAAACATCACACTYTGATGCTTAAGTTAGAATTGAAAGTTGAAGAATAGTGTAGTTTAGAGTATGGTTTCATGCTCTAAGGTTGAGTTATCTCTTCTATTTATAGGAATCAAATCTTATCTCMTTTATGAAACTTAATTACTTGGGTRGATGTAGCATCGTCGTGGACTGAATGTAAGGAGAAAAGACAATCAGTCCGCTATTGAACCTCATCAACTAGGCAAGGGACTCATCATTCGGGATGTCGAACAAMTGTCAGTGGTCAATGCCATCAACTGGTCGGTCGGGTGTCAAGTCTTGCTTGGCAAGGCCTTGTGCTACCATTCGTCYGTCGGGCTTCTAAGTTCGGACTTCCATTCTTCTTTCTAGCTAACTTAGACCCATATAAGATTTCTCCCTTACTCATTGGCTTCCTTCTTCTTAAGTGGGTACATAGTTTGTTTGTCAGGTTCGACTTTATTTCTACCATAACAGGTACCTTATCTAGTTGCTATGCTGAATTGACTCATAATTCAGTATCTATAATTTAAAATTTGTAACTATATAGTATTTAACTTTACTACCTGATATTTAAAAAAATTAGTAAATAAATAATTATTACATAACAACTTAGTTGCTAATAGTTAAATTTGTTAACAATTTAGTTTGTACCTTAGAAAATGATGCCAAGGTACAAATAATATGTAACTTGTTCATGTTTTTTATTCTCATTTCCTATTTTTTTAATAAATAAAATAGAATCCCATTTGAATTTCTTATTTCTTGTTTTTTATTTTTTATTTTCAGATAAATAAAACATATTGAACCATTTATTGTTTTTTTTTTCTCCAAAAAATTTAAATTAAAAGAAGTAATTTTTTTTATATGAAATTTAATTTTGAATATCAAATATTCAAAAGAATTTATGATATTTTAAAAATTTTTAATATTTATATGTATTTTGTAAGTGMATGATGGTAAAATAATGTTTTTATATATGTTTTGCACAAAATGAAACAAAAAAAACTGAACTTTGTTGTTTCCAAAATACATGTTTATTAAAATTGATAAAGGAAAAACAAGAAACAAAAATCATAGACGTTACCAAAATGGATCGTAAATTTAATATTTTCGCATACTTTGGTCACTTTACACAATATTAGAGGGAGAGAGAGTTATAAAAATAGAAAACAACAGCAATTACTAACAATAATACCATTAAATCACCAATAAATTACCTAAAAGCTTAAGATGATGGGTCTTCTGACTATTAAATATTCATTAACAATTTAGCCAAACATATTCCACCTCCTTAAGAGTCATTTGCTGAAGAAGAGTCTTCCAAACGCGATTATCCCACCATAAAGTAGGAGGTTGTCACTCTCTCTCTAATAAATAGCGGTAAAATTACTTCACAATTGAAAGAGAAGGATTCGTCATAATACATTCTGAACAAAAGGTTCGACTAGGTTAGGCACAAAGTCGTCTATATGACCACAAAGTCTTACAAAAGCATGTAGTAAATTTAATCTAACATAAGGTTCAACATGTGATGATCAAATATTAAATTGGGAAGGAAGAACGGTATTACACTGATTTGAACACAAAACTCTCGTATTCTATTCTGATACCATATTAAATTATTATTGAACCAAAAAGTTTAGAGCGGATAGGCTAAGAATAAATCTAATACTTAGATACTTTTAACAAATAAGCCAACATGCCGCGCAATAAGACAAAGAATCTGCAACAGAATTCCTTCTCGGAATAGAGTGGGATTAAGGAAGAAGTAGCAAACTTCAACAGAAACATGGAAAGAAAAGTTAAAGTCTATACTAAATTCCCATATCAACTTACAGACTTGTTGACATACAGTGAGTTTTATTCATTACCCAAATGATATCACATAACTTAAAAGGCAACTAATAATGTTTTGGCAAATACAAGGTTTTTGATCATCATCATCTAGCTAGTTCTCTTGAACCAGCTTGTAGGGCTCCAACATTCGATTGAGATCTCCGCTGAGGTGAAGGGACATGACTTCATTCGTGGACCCGATGAGGTCCCCGCCGATGAACACAGCGGGCACGGGCGGCGTGTTGCAGCCCTGCAGCCTTACCAAAGCCTTCTCCATCTCCCTCGCCACTTCGGGGTCCTGGTCGAGCTCATACACCATCGGGCTCACTCCGAGTTCCCGGAGAAGCACGTTCACCGCGTAAGAAAGACAGCAGGAGCTCTTACTGATTATCAGCACTTCATTTTCTGCTGCCAATCTCTTCACCCTCTCCATGCCCMTTTTATTGTACCTTTTATGTTACAAGTAGTGGCTTGAGGCTTGAGCTTATCTCAAGCAAGGCTCTTCTTTGAGTGTGGAGTTTATATATAAGAGAGAAAGTTATGGAAAGGCTAAGTTTTGTTCGAATAAGAGAGCCGTGTTTGGCTTATATATATAGGGATGAGGTGGAAAAAGGCTGCTAATGAATCTGAAAATGATGGATCCTTCAAAGAGGATGCTAGCTTCTTTTTTACTTTTTTGGCTTAGAATCTAAACTAAGAAAGTATCTTGCAAGTAGAAGGGTTACATTGTTGGGTTTCTAGATGAAGCAAGTGTGGAAATGGAAATTCGGGCAAATTGCACTAACCATTTCTAAAGTATGATGATTGTTACAAGAGTAACCGTAAACTTTCAATTGTTAAAATTAATTCTTAAATTTAAGTGGAAAATTGCACCCATAAACTTTTTGTGGTAACTTTTTTAAAATATCAAAGTTTGAGAGTTTAATTTTTACTATTGAAAAGTTTTCGTGTATAATCTTTTCAAACCCATAAAAGTGCGAGGGATTGACTTTTATGGCCAAAAGTTTATGGATCTAATTTTTCCACTTATAAAAGTTTTAGGTTCAAATATTTTTCCACTTATAAAAGTTTACTTTACGGTGATAGAAATTTTTATCCAACTCCATGTGATCTTTCCATTTTGATAAATTTAAGTGGAAGTAATTGTCCCTTCTTACTTCTTTATAAGGGAAAGAAATCATTATAGATTTTAAATTATAGAGGCTAAATCCTTTTGTACTAAAGTTAAAGACTAAATCGCTATAAATTTAAATTATAAGAACAAAATAGTTACATGTGAGAGTTCATGAACTAAATTATTAGTTGTATGAAACTAACGAAATTGTAGGATCTATCAAGAACCATCGACCTTTCTAACATACATGTTTCAATAATTATATGATATTGTCTCGTTTAGACTTAAGTTTTAATAGCATTTATCTTTGGTTTCACCAAAAGTATCATATGTCAATCTTTCATCTTATCAAATCATTACGACACTTTGGTTAAAAAATAAACTTAATTGAAGTCGACTCTCACGTAAAATTCTGGATCCGTCGATGTCTGCTTCACTTCAAAGTTGTTTCCCACGAAGAAGGAACTGAATGAGGAGAGAGAGAAGTATAAATTGAGAAGGACGTGGGTTATTCTACTATCTATGCAGGGGAATTGAATTAGACGATAAAATCCTAAGAAGAGATTCAGGAAAAGCAATGGATTCGTCAATTTATTCGAGATCCGAGAAATCGGCACCCTTTTTGAATCTTTGTGCTGGAAGATTTTAGGGCTGCGATTCCCTTGTTGGACCACCCTCATCATCCCATACGCCATAGCCCTGCACTTTTTCAGTTGCATAATAATTTTTTTATTATTATATCACGATTTAAATTTTATAATTTATAAACACTTTTTTTTTAATTTGTAAAAGCATTTGATTCCTCGTCAGTTAAGAAATCATAGTAAATCGTCAAAGCGAACATAACTCAGCGGTAATTAATATATATCTGCGTTGAGGTTGTGAGTTTATCTCCACTCTACATGTTTGTGAGGATGTGAGATCGAACTCACAAGCTCTTGATCGGAGTATATGTCAATTACTGTGGAACTATCTAGTTAATATTTGGGTATTCATTAATTGCTAATATTTAAATTAACGATTGATTTATCAATATGTAAAAATTATTACTATAACTTTTATTATCTTTTTCAAAATTTTATTACTTTTAGAAAACCACACTATATATATTTTTAAATGCTACTCATTAACTTTTTTAAAAAAATCAATTTCGATTTGGAAAATACAATTTATGAACACCCTACTAATGTATGTACTTTATTCCCAACACAAACAATGCCTTCACTACGAGAATATCTGCTTTACTTTGACCAACTTTATTTTACCAAAAAATGTATTCGAAGTTCGAACCAACTTTTAGAGGGAGCTTTTGCTCCTTGGAACGTGTGTTGCTCCTTCGAACACGTGTGCTTCAACCGAACGAGTGACGTAAGAAAATTGTAGGAAAATATTCTCGAGCGTTGCTGTATGTTTAAATAGAAGGTCAAAAGTTCGAATCCTCCAAAATCACATACTATTGAATTAAAAGAAAGTCTAGAAAGATACTGCTTCTTTTTACGTGTAAAACTTGTTTTTGTTTTTTAAATTTGAAGGAAAAGTCATATGTGTTTTTAAGGAACGTGAAAACATAACAAAAAATGGTAAGAAAAAATATAATTTTTGAAAAATAGAACACAAAAAACGAAATGGTTATCAAATCAGGCCTTAAAAATATATATTAATGTGCCGACTTGGAATAATCCTATAGGGTTTGGTTGAGCTTCATATTGAGTGAACAAATATTAACCAATTATAGAATAATAGTAAAAATCAAAATAGTTATTTTTTATTTTTTTTTGTGTATAATAAGCGAAGGTTTTGAGACCAAAAGGATTATTTTAAAGAGTTTATTAAAATATGTATTATGAAAATTGATATCCCAAAATAGAATACGGAGAGTCATGAAACAAAATGATATTTAATCCATAAAAATCGTGGTTACCAAATATTCTAAGTGTGATGCAATTGACTGAATATAGCACAATTAATATGTGGTTACCATTCTCTTTCTCATTCATTAGTTGCATTATCTTGGTTCGAAATTCCTCTCTTGTCTGCTGCAACTTCTTTTATCAACTACAAAATTGGATTTGGTGAGTTTTATTCTATGTTTCGTATTTATATATTTCATTTGGATTTCTAATAATAGGTTGTTTGTATTAGTAATATAATAGTGACAATAATAAGTAAATTGGTAATGATTTAAGTATTTAATCTAATGAGTTGTGTAAAGATAATTAATTTGCCGATTACTGGAAAAAAAATTAATTTATCATATTTGTGCAATTAACTAATGAAAACTAAATTTTTATTTTCAAAATTAATTTGAATTTATTTATTTGTAATTAACCAAAAATTGAAGGGGTATTATAGTCAAAAAAGTTTTTCAAAGACACTGCCTATTTAATATAGATAGATTATTTTTCGGTTGTAATATTGTATTTTTTTTATTTGAAAATGTTATTATCAGTACCATTTCAAAATCATCTTTTTTTTTTTTAATAAAGCATGCAGATGAGAATTCAAACTTACAAATTTTGGTCCAAATAAATGTCTTAACTAATTGAGATAAACTCAAATTAGTATATTTATTTGTTATTACTTTTGTTATATTAAATTATTAAACATTATATTAAAATATTTAAAAACACGTTGCACGTTAATTAGTTTCTAAAAATGCTAAAAAGAAGCTTCATCTTTGAGAAACTCTAAAAAGTGTTCCATTCAAATACTTGACTTTCTATCTTCAATTCGTTAAAGTTGTACACATATTATTCATTTCCTCGAGTGTTTCTTGTTACTTAAAAATCTTTCCTTTTTGTTAAACAATTCATTAATTATTAGACAATGTAGCAATAATATAGATAAAAGAAAAAATAAATTACGTACAACATTCAAACTTACACTAAAGTTGCTTCAACGATCAAGCCAGGAAGTATAGGAGAATATTTTATCCTTTAATTGCTTTGAGATTCTTTATTTAGGAATTTTATTTTACTTTTTTGCCATGTTATGAGCTTTGAAACATAGACTTTGATGAATTAATAAAATTTATTATGTTTTCTCTACACTTGTAAGTGTATTGTGCCCTTATATACTCAAGTCTTACTTTCGTCTTGCATGTTTATAATAAACATTCAAGTATTGGATTGGCCATCAGCTTGTAGAGCGTTTCAACTATGAGACCCGTAAGAACGAGTTTTCTTACATGAGGTCTCATCAAGAAATCAACAAGTTCTTACTATTGGGAGCTATGGGAGATAGAATCCTATTATCGAGTGGTTCTTGAAAAAAATGTGATTTCGATACTCAAATCAAGAGATTGTAATGTCCAGGACAGAGAAATGAAGTTCAAAAGAGTAAATGTGTCAAGTCTTTTGAAAATATGGTTCAATCGTAGGGATGGCAACGGAGCGGGGCAAGGTCGGGGGGCCATCCCCATCCCAGGTCCCGTCCCCAAAATTATATATAAATTAATTTTTGTTATCACTTGTATAAAAAGTGAACAAAAAATGGCGAAATAAGATATTAGCTTGAGTTTTTTTTTTAAATTAAAAAGTATTTATAAAATTCATATATATTAATATTATTATATAAAAAAGTAATAAAATATTAAACGGGGCAGGATTGGGGACGGGGTGGGGAATCCTCCCCGTCTCCGCCTCGTCCCGGTCAAACCGGAGATTCCCCGACCCAATCAGGTCGGATATCCATTGGGATAAGGTCCCACAGGTGTTTTTGTCATCCCTATTCAATCGTACTTGGACTATATGAACAAATGAGTCTTATAAATAAAGTTGAATGCGAATGTAACATGTCCTAAGTTTAGTGATGAACAATTACTTGAATGGCTAAAAAGATCAACCTATGGTTGGGAGAACCATGTGATTGGTCAAGTTTATCGACATAGGCTCGATTTTAACGTAGCAAAGCATTAGATATGTCATTGGACGAATCGTTAAATAGGAACATGTGAAAAATACTTTTTAAATTATGAAAAAGATAAATACAAACTCATTTTCACTCACGTGCCTCCCTAGTTATCTAGTTATGTGCATAGTAGAAATTGTTTACCACAAGTGTAATTAAGCTGAGTCAAATTTTAATATAAGTAAATTAATATCATTATCATCATGTAGATTGAATTTCTAGTACCAAAAATATTAATGCTCAATTTTATTTAGAAGATCAAACATGACAAGAATCAAGAAAATCAACAGAAAAAAACAAGCAAATGGAAATATTAATGAATAAAGGTCAGTTTTTCTCACTAATTTAATTTACGAGCATATAAATTAAACGTGTCAAAACTGAATACACCATTAATATATAAGTCAAGAAATCACAATTTCTAATGGTCTCTCCGAAGCACAATTAATTCTCCTTACTCATTAAGTCTACTTCTTTTAACAACTTTTAAAGCAATTATAAATCTCCCAACCTTAAAACTACCTTTTGTATGCATTCAAATTTCAATATAAACCACGTCTCCCGAGTATGAGATTCAAATTTAAAGAAAATTAATTCAGAATCAAAAGATAAAAGGAATTAAGCATACTAATACATGATTCACGAAACAAACTAATTAATTAATTAATCTAGCTCATAAAATCAAGTGGTTACATCAATCTCTGAAACAACGAATTTATAAACAACAAAATTTTAAATAAAGTTCCACAAGAAAATTAGAAAAATGAAGAGAAAGAAGATAAATTAAATTCAGTCGTGTTGATTGATTCTCCCCTAGCCAACCTTTACAATCCTAAACCAGAAAATCCTTTCCGATCTCAACTTCTTGATGCACTCGTTGCCCTCTATTTTCAAGCATGGTAATGTTTCTTCTCCAGGAAAGTGTAAAAACTTCCCCTTGATGTCACTTGGAACCATATTTTTCATCAATGAAAATGCAACAGCGCCATGATGCCATTACTAACACCGTGACACAACGCCAAAAATTGACGGAAGCTCAAGTTCATAGTGTCATGATGCTTTCTTCTCAACAAAAGGCTTAAATTTGGGTATGCAACTATCATGGTTCTATCATAAAGTACCGTGAAGTTGCCTTCTTAGTTTCCGGCTCTTTTCTACACACGGTAGGCACCATGGTACTTATGCCATAAAGGGCACCTTGGCATTACTCTCTCGAGTGTTGAGTTTAATTATCTATGGTGCAATCCCCTTATTCACTTGAACTCTGATTTGTCTCTTATTTTGACTCAAATGGGTTCAATTTTCTTCCAATAATTCATTTATGAAAAAATGTCTCAGCTGCATAATCTCTCATAAATAACACAAACACTAACAAATAATAATGAAGTTGTAATTCCCATAAAATATGTAACTTATATAATTGCACGATCAAATATCTGCAAACCCAAGTATTCGAACAAATGAAATTCATACACTTGATAGTCATCGGTAGGAACTCAAACCTCAAAATTTTCTTTTATTGACCTAGCAATACAAATCAAGGATTTTGAGCACACTTAACTAAATCATATTCCTTAAAATTTTAAAAATGGAAATTTGATCACATTACTCCAAGATGACTCAAACTGATCACAACAAGGTAGCTGTTTCTATACTAAAAGTTTATCATTAACGTAAGTAAAAATGGAATGAAATAGAGATGAAAAATTGAGAAAGTTTTAGGACAGAAATCACTAGTATTCACCTGACGCCATCGTTGGATTAGTTGAATAGAAGCTTAGTATTGCGCCTTTCATCCCCTCCCCACGACCACACTTACCCTTAGGCCGCGTTTACTTACCTCAATCGTAATCCATGAATCGTTTTCCTATGATGTGTTTATCAAATTGTAGGAATATAATCACTCACCTCAAATTTTGTAATCATCTCATTACAGTCCTACGGCCCATCAATTCCATTCACATACATTACTTCGTGGACCCCACATTACCACTCTTACGTGAGATCCATATAATTTTTAATTAGTTTTTTTTTATACTTTTGTGATTTATTCTCCATTTATAGTTCCATTTTTATTAGTGGATGTAATTTTATTATATAATATGATAAATAAATATTAATTAATATCAATAAATTTTTTAAATAGATTTTATTATTTTTAAATATTAGAATAATAAAATTTAATAATATGTTATATTAAAGTTTGGTTGTTCAAATAAAAAATATTTTATTTGATGTAATTTTATTTTAATTATTCATTATGTATTAATATCAGATAAATTGTTATAATAAAAAATATTTACTATCAATAATATAATAATAAATTAAATTAAAATTTATTATTATTGTAATTTAAAAAAGGTTAGTATAATAATATATTTGTAATTAATTAAAAAGGAGAAATGGATATATTAGTAATTGTCATATATCTGATTCCAATTCCGATTCCAGAGGATTTTAGTAAACAACATCAAACGAATTCTGATTACGATTTCAAGAAAATTTATGGTAAACAACATCAATAGAATAACATTACAATTCCGATTGATTTTCATTACGACTGCTTTCCATTACAATTGTAGATAAGTAAATGTGACCTTAGTTTCATCTTCTTTTGTTTGCTTTCACTTCCATTTTAATTTCTTTAATTATTCTCTTAAGATAAAATATTTTAAAATATATTATTAAAATATACCTTATTATTAATAATAAGAAAGACGATGTCAAAGTGARCCTAGTCCAACGATAATTTACAGATGATATATATCTTCTATCCTTAATGTTTGAGTATTTTCTTTTAATTTAATCATTTACATTTTAGCATCTTTAATTAGTCTTTACTTTTATTACTGGTAAATATTAAATATGGTTAATGAAAAAAGTCTTGTCCCGCCTACGAAAAGTTGAAACGACTCAGAGATAGAACTAAAAAAAGAATTAATTTTTCTAACTGAATTGCCATAAAATTTAGAGGAAGCAAAAAGGTTTTTCAATATAATAACACTCAAAATTTCTACTCGTTTTTTAAAAATTTTGACGAAGGTATAAATATGGCCTCATGTAAATTGTGGTCAGTTCATTAATATCAAGTAAAATTATCATCTAAATTAAAAATAATGGAAACTAAATTGGAGGAATACCACAAAATTAGGGATTGTCTAAAATAAACAAGTAATTGGAATCGAAAGTGACAAAATTTCCAAAATATTAAGAAAGGGAGTGGAGTAGCCCGTAGGGCCAATCCGACGATGGGTTTTCGAATGTTGCTTCGTCTCTGCGAACTGCATCGCCCATAGAATCAGCTGAGTCCGCGAACGAAATGGAAGAAGCTAAGGCAATGGCTGCTCAACACCAACAGCAGCTACTTTTGCAACAACACAAGCAGCAACAGCAACAACAGCACCACCAAACTCAGCAGCAGCAGCAGCAGCAGCAGCAGCAATTTCTTCTCTTTCAACAACTTCAGAAACAGCAGCAGGCCGCCCAGGCTGCTGCTATTTCTCGATTTCCTTCCAATATCGACGCCCATTTGCGCCCACCGGGCCTTCACCTCCGTCCTGGATCCATCAATCTCCACCAAAACCCCAAACCTAACCCTAACCCTAATCCAACCGCATCTCTTCCTAATTTGCAGTCCAACCCTAGCCCCAGTCAACCGTCATCCCAACAATTGCAGCAGCAGAGAGCTATGCGACCCGGGAACCAGGCGGAACTCCAGATGGCTTATCAGGACGCTTGGCGTGTTTGCCATCCTGACATTAAGCGGCCCTTTGCTTCTCTTGAAGATGCTTGTGAGAGGTTCGTCCTCTCTTGCTGTTAATTCGCCTTTGAAATGCTTGTGCAATTTTATTTTTTATATATATATTTTTTATTTTGTGTTTGGAAGCTCTAATTCTTGAATGATTATGCTTTAGGTTGTTCTGAAGACATTTAGAGCCTATTATTAGCGAGGGTTTGAATTTTTATTATTTGAAATAACGAATTTTCGCTATGTAAATGCTTGCATTTATCGTTATTTGGTATTTTGTTCAGACCATTAGTTGTCTGCTGGAGGTTTTTGTAAGATCAGGATCATATAAATTTGGATTCTGGCGTATACATTCTCAAAGAGGGAGCTTAACGAATTGAGAATTGAGATGACACCTGTAGAAAACATGTGACGCACAACTAGTTGTATATGTAATGAGATTTCTAGTCCACAGTGCATGAAAAATTGGTTCCCAGTGAATTTGTGAATGTGATCCATCCTGGGCAGTAGGGGGGTGCCCCAGGTACTTCTAGTGAAGATTTTAAATTAAAAATAGAAGAAGTTATATCGTTTGCCTTGGTGGTGTGTGCTTGCAAAGGTGCCCCAAAGGATCATGACCACATTATTTGGCCTTGTCAGTTTGCTCGGAAGATTTGTGATTGTTTTTTCTGAGTGATTTGGGGCATCCTCAGCTAGTAATACTGTAATAGGAATTGTTGGGCAATGGTGGAGGAGTGTTGTTGTTGTCCATCCCTCCTTTCAGGATAGAGGAACGTTTCTGTGGCAAGCATGTTTCTTTGCTTTGCTATCTTGTGAAGAATTTGGCTTGAGAGAAATAATAGTCTTTAGGGGTTGAGAGATCTAGTAAGGTTGTTTGAGAGCTTACTAGATTTAATACCTCTTTGTGGGAATCGAAGGTCTTTTGTAATTATCAGTTAAGCTTGATTCTTTTGGATTGGAGCTCCTTTCTTCAGGGATGGCTGTTGGTTGAGCTATTTTTTGTTCGTCCTTGTATACTTTATTCTCTTAATGAAAGAGTAATTTCTCATTGAAAAAAAAATCCAAAACAGTTTTGTCACAAAAGCCCACAAATAGGTGTTAAACCTAAAAATATTCCACACCTCTTCCTAGGATCTCTCAACCCCTCTAAAAACTTTATTATTCCTTTGAAGCCAAATATTCCTCAAAATAGCAAAGAAACAGGCCTGCTAGAGGACTGTGTCCTTGTCTCTTGAAAGTAGGATTCAAGATAACCTCCTTCATGATAGAATAACTATCTCTATAAGAGATGGTCAAGATCCTTCATTGCTTGTTTACAAAGGCTGCACCACTTTGGGCCTCAATCTAAGGTGTTAACTCTCCCATGCAAAGAATTTGACTCTCTTGGAGACTTTTAACTTGCAAAGAGTGGAGAAAGAAGGGCCTCATGTGGGGACGAAGGCACACATAAGATCTGAAAGAAATAACTACAAGAGAAGCCCCCCAAAGGGTTAGGGGTCCAAAAGCAAACATCCCTCCTCCCCGAAATCACTCAAATGTTACCCAAAATCGAAAGAAGGGCCACCACTCCTGATGTCCCTCTTTGGTTCGTTGGGAGCTCTTTTTCCATCCGTTTTCAATTAAGTGGGTTTTCGACTTAGAAGTCCCAAGCAAACGTCCTTCAACTTCTTAGTGGTCTTCAGTTTAGCCTTGAAGTTTGGCTTTGATGGGTTAACGGAGTCAAAGCTATACTTTCAGAATTGTGGTTTGAGCGAAACTAGAGGATCTTTGAAGGGAAACGTAAATCCCCAGAGGATTGCTTCAACTTAGCCAAGTTTAAAGCTTCTCGTTGGTGTTCTCTTGTAGATCCTTTTTTTTTAACTATTCTCCTAATATGGTATGTTGTAATTGGGAGGCTTTTATAACTTCCCTTTAGATCGTTTTAGCTTTAGTTGTTTTTGGTAATTTCTTGTTACTTTTCACTCCCTTAGGCCTTAGGGAGTTTGTCTCTTTGAATTATTCATCTTGTATTGCTTTCTCTCCCTCCTTCTCCCTCGGGGCTTGTATCTTTGAACAATTTTTGTTCCTTTTCATACATTCAATGAAAAATTCGTATCTTCTTAAAAAAATAATCAGAGGAAGGCATGACAGAGGCCACCAAATGCAACATCTTATTTGAAAGATGATACAGTTGAGGAAATGAAGCACAAAGGGGCTGGTCTCGTCCCCCACAATCCTCTGAAAAATAAGTTTTTGAGCCTTCCTCAAGAGCACATTGTACGAATTGAGAGAACAAAGGGAAACTTGAAATAATATTATAATAGCATTCCAAAGGTTTTTAGAATAGCCCTTAGACCCACAAACCGAATCCCATTCAAATCAGTGTGAACCGTATTTGCTCACAATGATTCCATGCCATAGAGGCATTCGGTTTGGTCTATAAAACACAGACACGGCAAAAAAGGAGGAGTGTCTGTGTCGGACACGGATACGTCCGGACATGCTCCGGACACGTGTCCGACACGCAATTAAAGTGTCAGAATATTAAATTTTTTATTTTAATTTCAGACACGTAGGAAACGTTTTGGACACGGGAGGGACACGCCAAATAAAAAAATATTGTTTCCTTAGCCCAATTTTGGAAGTCCAAGAAGTTTTGGTGAAATCTCAAAAACTTAAACTACAAAAAAAAACCCTAAAACGCTACCTAGTGACCTGTGTGAGTTAAATTAAATAAGCTCTATTCTTACTTCCTTTTTTCCCTAATTTCATATGAATTAAACTGGAGTAGAATATGTTTTACTAAATTAGGATGACAACTTCGACCCAATAATCAAATTCAAATCCTTCTCTAGGATTTGTTCAGTGGATTACATTTACTATTTTTATGCTTTTTAGTGGGTACATCTTCAACCCAATAAATTTACTTGACATTTATGTTTTTTAGCGAAGTATATTTAGCATTTTTATGTTAAATTTACCTATATCCTAAAAAAATAATAAATAAATAACGTATCCCCAGCGTGTCTGTGTCCTAGTTTTTTAGAAATTGACGTATCGTCGTGTCCTGTCGTGTCCGTGTCCGTGCTTCTTAGGGTTTGGTAAAGAAGTGCCACAACCACTTGGCCAAAAGGTAGAGGTTTTGGTTATTTTGGTTCATTATTTTGTCAAGATTTTAGTCTTTTTGTTCTTCAATGTTTGTATTCTCTTGTAATATTTGGAGTTTTGTTCTTTATTTGGTTGTTTCAGTCTTTTGTTTGCTCCCGGTGGGAGTTTGTATTTTGCACATTTTCTACCTTTTCATATATCAATGAAAATTTTGTTTCTTGTTAAAAAAACAAGGCTTCTGATAAACCCAACCTTAGTGGTTTATTCTATCCTAAATGGCCTTAGAGAATAGACATCATATGTTACTTCATTGCAAAGTTTCTTGCAATATTTGGCATTTGTTTTTTCCATCCTTGCGTTTCAGCCTTTTGGGGTTTCTTTGGATTGAAGGGCAATGTTGGAGGAGGCGGCGTTGTTTCCTCCTTTTCGAGATAGAGGGATCGTGTCCAGCCTTGTTTTTTCTGATATTTTGTGTGGTATTTGGATCTAGAGGAATAATAGAACTTTCAAAGGAGTTGAGAGGTCTTGGGAGGAAATTTGGGAGCTTATTAGATTTAATATCTTTCTTTGGGTATCAACTTCTAAGACTTTTTTGTATATCAGATAGGTGTTATTCTTTTGGATTGGAGTCCATCCTAATAGGTGGATTCGCTTTTGTCAGGCTTGTTTTTTTGTATGTCCTTTTATATTCTTTCCTTCTATTTCTTCGGATTGAAAGCTTGCTTTCTTATCAAAGAGGATTTTGATCATACAACCTCTTGCTGAATTGTCCAATTGAACTTGCAACCACGTGACTACATATCTCCCGTGATTCAAATAGTATTATTGGAACATATATTCCCATTGGCCACAAACCTAACCTTAGGAGCTTTCACTCTATTGAAAGAAAGAGAGTAAACTGGATAGGAGGACACCATTTTTTTTGTTTTTTTTTTACAGAAACTAGCTATTCGTGCTCCTTCAAGAGTCGAGACTGATCAATTTGTGTACTAAACTTCCCTTGGCATATGTGAAAAACTTTTTTTATGAAAGGCTCGAACTATTAATTCAGAATTATGGATGCAAGGCAATTATTTTAGAATTATGGTTCGAGAGGAACCAAAGAGTCTTTGAAGATTCTCGTCATTCATCCTTGGAATGTTTTAATCTTGCCAATTTCAAAGCATCTCAATGGTATGCTCTTTCCGATCTTTTCTCTTCCTATTCCCTTAATATGATTTGTATGAATTGGGAGGCACTTATAACTCCTTGTTTTTCGTTTTTACGCCTTTGGGAGTTTGTATCCTTGAACAATTTTGTTCTTGACCAAAGTAGAGGAGAATTAGCTCATCTTTCCCATGATTTGAATCAGATTAATTCTTTTGATTGCTCTCCCATCCAAGCAGTCACCACTACTTTCATTCTCCTGTTCTGTATGGTTCCCATTCCTAGGTATTCCTATAAAATTAAATCAGGAAGCAAAAGCAGAAATTATGTACTCAAAGAAGTCCACAAACCCCGTGCTTCCATTAATAACAACAAGGTTATTAATGCTACTCCTCAAGGAGTTCTCGTTTCTGGATGGGAATCTTTAGTTGGAACATTAGGAATTTGGGAGCTAGAGCTAAGAGATTTCTTGGGGAAAACACGTCTCATGCACTTGATTTGGCTAATCATCCAAGAAACAAAATTTAGCAACTTGGGCCACTCTTTGATTAAGTTCACTTTGAGCTTTTATATTATTTGATGGTTCGCTCTTAATTTCCTCAAATCCTAAAGTGGTATCCTTATAATGTGGAATAGTCCATGATCCTTCTTTCTCTGATAGTTTATGAAGGTGCTTTCTCTCTCTATTAATCTTAGACTTGATGGTTCTTCCTCTTGGACTTTTGGTGGCTATGATTGCTCCTCAAGACACATAAAAGACGGGTTGAATTTGAAAATATAGTGGGCGTTAGTGAGGAGCCTGAATATTGGGTGGTGATTTTAATGTCTCATGGTGGCCTTTTGGAAAATCCCCATTGGACATGTCACTTGCATCACGAAGTGCTCCACAAAAGTTATAGATCTCTCTTTGGTGGATATCCATTTTTCCCTTAAGACTTTTTTACCTGGTCTAATTTTAGAAGCAATATGGTTCTCTCGAAGCTGGACCAATCCTTGGTCTCTGTACATAAATTTCATGATACGAGGGTCCACAAACTTGACAAGTTAATTCTCACCATTGCCTATTCTTTTGGACATTGGCAGATTTAAATGGGGTCCTCCCTTCTGAACTAGACTCTTTTTTCATATAGTTAGGTGGGCGTTGGGGCCCCTTTTGTTGGGCTCTTTTTTACTTATTTTATCTACTTACGAGAAAAAGAGACTTTTTTCCTTGACCTCATCACTGGTATGCCTGTGAATGTTGCTAAATTTCAATTGATTGATGTATAAGCCATGGTCTCTTCTTTGGCTGGCTGTTGGAATTGTAAAGCTACCCCTCAAAGACACTTTTGGAACCATCTTGGTGAAAGGATCCATCAAAACCTCAACAAATGGAAGAAATCTTTCCTGTCCCAAAGGGTAAGGCTAACTCTCTCATTGGCTGCCCTATCTAATCTTTCCACTTACTATTTTTCAGTTTTCAAAGCCCTTGATGTGGTTATTAATAATTGTAAAAAATTGACGAGGGATGCTTTTTGGGAGGCTGCTCGTTTAAATGGAGATAGTCATCTGGTGAAGTGGGAAGTGACTGCTCTTCCCGTTGGTTTTGGTGGTCTTAGCATTGGCAACCTTAATTCAAAGATCTTGGCCCTTCTTGTCAAATTGATTTGAAGATTTATTTTTTAAAAAGATCCCTTGGGAAAAATATCATTGTCGGCAACTACCGTTGGGAAGTTTTGGGTAGGTTTACTGCCTCTTTCTTCTTGGTCCACTAACTGTTGCAGCCTCCATCTTCTCCATAGCTTAAGAATCTTGTATTTAATTACCTTTTTCTTGGGTTATGCTTCAGAAATAAAGTTAAGAAGATACCCTTCGCTTTATAGTACACCTCACCTCCATTTTCTGACCACTAGCAACGGCTCTTCCATAAATCATTTCTTGAGTCATGAGGCTCTTAATTGGTCTATCCATTCATTTTCGAAGGATGCTCAATGATTGGGAAATTAAGGATTGGATCCAACGATTGCATACGCTGGAAGGAGTTTTCCCTAAAAATTTTATGATGTTTTTCATTTTCTCTTGATTTTCCCCCAGCTGTTTCCAGTTAAGTCTCCTATGTCCAATCTAATTGTGACTTTTGCCAGCCCTAATTCCGATCTTGCCCCAGCTACTTCTAATGACTAGTATAAAAAAGGAAAAAAATGGCAAGTCTTGACCCTTTGCGTGCCTTCTCTTTTGAAGCAGTCTTAGCCTTCTCTTTTGAAGCAGTCTCAACACGGCTAATAAAATTTAGTTAAGGAATCCCTAAATTTTTGTTTCTCCTTACTGACATTCTTTGCTAAAGTGCCAATGAAGTTGCTGAACATGTTCTCCTTTATTGCTCCATCAGATATTTACTTTGGTGGAAGCTGTTTTACTATCTTATAATTTCTGTGGAGCTAGATCTATTATTATTGTCAACAATCTCTACCTTTTAAGTTGTTCGTTTAACTAACAGTAAGGATTCTTTGGTGTAAATCGTCCATGCTACTTACAGGACTATTTGGACAGAGAAAAAATGAAGGGTTTTTAAAATGTTGGAAGACCTCCGTAGGAAGTTTGGTATAAGTTAGGACCTAGTGTTTCTTCTACTTGGTCCTCTCTCAATTTTTTTTTCTTTTTCTAATTATTGCATTTCCTCAAACATAGCCCATTGGAAACTGTTTTTGTAATCTCTTGGCTTGGGCTGTGGTTCTCAATGGAATAATTTTTTTTTTAGTACAACATACACAGAAAAATAAGTGTTTTAGTGCCAAGATCTTCTGTTGAAGGAGAACTAAAAGTGAGCGGTGTACTGATGGAGTAAGCTTGGAACAGTGCTTCGAGAGCCCTATTCAGGTAGCTTTGGAAGGAAAAAAACCTCAGAATTTTTTAAGATAGGACGTCTAATTGGATTCTTTTTTGATAGCACAACATGTTGCCATGTGGTGGTGCACATAATTTAATGTTGCATTTTGTTTTGTTTTGTGTATTTTTTTTTTCTTTTGCGTTCATTTTCTCTAGGAGAGAGACTTCAGTTATAGTCTTATTGTATTATTATTGGCTTAGCCATTCCAATATTTTTATATAATTTTCATTGATGCATTTTATGGAAAAATAAATTGTACAGGCTGCTGCCATATCACGTGGTGGCTGACTATGAGGCTGAAGAAGATGATAGAATTCTCGACTCGGATCCCACGGGTCAAATGTTGTCACGCTCACAGCAGTGGGACCATAACATCTCAGCCAAAATTTCTGAATTTATTGCCACTTTTGAGAAGCAGGTATTGGCCTTCAACATCATAACTCGCAAAAGAGCATTGGGGGAGTTTCGCTCAGAAGAAAGATTGATGTTTGAGCAAGCCCTTATGCAAGAAGAGAAACGGAACCTTCTGGAACTAAAAGCTGAGATTGAATTGAGAGGGAAGGCTGGCAAAGAGGCACACGAAGCAAAAACACGGATGGCGTCGATGATGCAGACCGACCAAACAAGGGCTGAACCACAGGCTAACGAAATGATGGCACGAGTTCCCATGAGAACAGGTGCACTTGTCAGATCTCAAAGTGGCGATGTTCAAGTTGGCCATGGTGTCGGAGAGCAGGAGCAAGTTCATCCAAGCGAAATGATGAATGGATGGGGAAATAACACACAGGGAGATGAGAAAGAGGCATCAGAGGACCTATTGAATGATGAGGAGGCCGAGAATGGCGATACGGGCATGCACGATAGCTGGCGCGAAGTTGGGGAATTTGATCTGAACACGAGATGAAATGTGAGTGGAACGGCTTGACCAAGCCTAAATGTGGGTACGTTGGAACTTTGAGTAGGAAATACAAATACATGTATTGCTTATACTTGTCTATTGGTGATAAAATCTCTACATCCAAACAAGAATGTCCTTCGCTTCGAAGCAGTAAGATGTATTAAAAAGGAAGAAGAAATTGACGAATAGGTATTACCTTCATTCCACATTTGGCGTCCACTAAACATCTTATTTAGGGTTTTTTTTTCCTTTTAAGTATCACGATATGTGAAGGTTGGGATTTAGACTCTCAATTAACCAAATCAGCTATGCTCAGATTGATAGATAAATGTTTCAAAGTAACCATACGAACTTGAATACTAATAAAGAGGTTTATTACTTGTTTTTATAAAATAAATCTAAATAATTTTATTAATTTCTTTATATTGTATATATATGTACATCATTGATGCCAACCTTTTTTTTTTAAATATAGAAAAATTTTAGATATCGAAAAATATCTTTGATGTGATCAACGATTTGAGGTTTTAATTTTATAAAATATAGTTAGGAATATCAATGTAAATTGATATATTTTTTAAAATTTATAGAAGAAAAGTTGTAAAAGAATATTTAGTTAACAAATAAGCATTTCATATCTTTCTCAAAAGTTAAAAAGTCTTACTGTTTGTATTTCTTTTGTTGTTCCAGTACTATGAAGATATCAATTTACTATTTAGGTAGACGTTGAATGGACAGAAATGTTAGGAAAAATGAATAGAAATCCTGCCACGCTAACGGAGGATGGGGTTTGGTTGAACAAAAATGACTCAAAATCATAATCTTGTGCAATTACAGAGGCATTTTGAAAGATTGGCAGACAAGAATTGGAAGTAACTTTATATTTGGCGGACATTTGCATAAATTATGGTTTAAAGTTTCTTTCGTAATTACAGTCTTACAAATACGATTAGAAAGCTGTCCTAGACGGAGGCCTTCTCATCCTCCAGCCTATAGGCTGTTCTTTTTCTCATATACATACACCAATGTTTCTAATGAAAAAAAATATATATACATTTGGCGAAAGTTCGTTGTGAAACTCAACCACTGTTCAGAAGCATAGAATTTTGGCAAAAGAACATTAATCGACCAAACAAGATAACCCAATCAATTAGAATTTCTTAAAACACGTAGTGAGATTGAGATATAATCATCGCATTGGCAGACACCCAAATATCCTCATTGGTTACTTGAAAATGCAAACATAATATGCAACAAACATCTGACCTATAACTAACCAACCAAACCAACCAAAAACAAGAATTGGAAAAGGGAGAGGGAAGGAAGATGATGCTCAATAAGAATTGAGATCTTAATTTGAAAATGGGACAACCAAAGAATACACAAAATCTAAAAAGATCCTACAAAATATTAGGCAGTTGACAGTCTAGTCTCTGTTGCAATTCCTTGATCTTCAAAGAAAGTTCTGTCTTCTGCTCCTTGTAGCTTTGCAATAAATATTCTTTTCCTTCTATCACCTCCCTTAGGTCCCCTACCTCCTTCTTCAACATCTCAATCCTCTCCCCATCTCTTACTTTCTCGGGTACCTCGAAATTGCAATTAATATCCATATAACCATTTGCATGACCATTTCTCGTTTCGCTTGGCCAACTTCTTACTGTTGATGGTGACTTATCGTTGGGGCCTGCGCTCCCCAAACAGTGATCTGCAATTGCTTTCCTCAGCCTCTGAATCTCTCTCTCTGAATCAAACAAGTCTTGGTTTGCAGCATCAAGCTGTGACTGCAAATGGGTGGAATGGGCTACCTGAGCATTAAGAGAGTTTTGCAAGTGAACAATTTGGTCTTGCATTTCCAGTATCATATCATCTCTTCTTTTCAGTTGGTGCCTCAACTTGTGAATCACTTCACGCTTGCTGAAGATATCAGAACCAGAATCCGAGACACAAGGTGAATCTGAGCAGTTCGAATGGTGGAATTGTTTTGCAGGCAGCTCGAGCCGGTCAGGAGATGATGCCCAAATAACACCATTCTCCTTGTTAAACTCTGAAGCAGGGACCATCATCAAAGGCAGAGCGCTCTCAGATGCAACCACCATTTGATCGCTAGGCGGGCACTTCACATCCGTTGTACACTGAGTCCCTGCGGATGCAACATTGTCATTAGAACACAGATGAAAGACGAACAATATTGACCAAAAATACAGCCAAAAGCTACAGAAATTAGTCAACCACCAGTTTAAACATCACAAGTTGAACCAGCCAAAAGGAGAATCTTCATCTAGGGAACATTAATCAACAAGTCGATGGTTAGACACAACATAAAGTAGAATTTTTATCTCCTTCCTTTTAAGCATTTGATTTTATACTTCTGGAACAAAAGGCTTTCCTCCTTGCAACATAAACTCGAAAAATCCTTTTCACACTCATGTTATTGTAATTTTTCTTATTGTAAGCTTTTTTTGTTATAATCACCAAACAGCCTAGAGAATGAGTATCAATCTGTCTAGAAAATATGTTGCACGAGTATTATCACCAGTTCTACCTTGCGAAACTTGAAGTCAAGGAAAGTAGTTCCACGTTGGTCTCATGAACAAGAGAAAAAGCAACCATCCGATCCTCAATCTCTCAATCAAGGAGGCAAAAGTCAAGGAAAGTAGTTCCTCTCTGAGTAAACTACAGAGGATATTGGAAGGTTTTAAAAAAGATTAATGAATAAGGAAGCAAAAATTGCTACTTGCGAGCAAAGAGAACCTGAATGAAGTCAAGAATCCTTCAACAATCAAGCTCTGCTGCCATAGCCTACAAAGAAGGTTATGAAGGAAAGAAAACTCAGAAAAATAAGAGCAATCCTCTTCTGTGGGTTTCCGCAGGTGCCTCAAGAAATTAAACCAGAATCCCAGCTGTTGGAATGAATCCTGAACTCACAATTACCTATTGGCACAAAGTCTGAGGTTGAGAGAAAACTACCACATTGCTATAGCTACATTCACGCGACCCAGGTTTCCTATCACAAAACTATCCCTTTAAAAGGTTTTGACATAGTACTCCTCCTACAATTCATTAAATATGACCCCACCTCCCTTCTCAATCCATATCCAATATCCATAAAAAAATCTTTCGTGACCTTCTTTAACTTATCCCTAACCAAAAGAATATCGAAAAGAGATAATAAGTAAAAAGGGGTTCCAAAGAGCACATACAACTTATTTTCTGCACTAAAGCTATTGAACTCCATGGAATAACTCAGTGTTAAATCCTATTTTCATTTTCATTTTTTTTTGTTGGATGAGAAAAAGAAGAGAATAGACTCCAAAGAACAGGAAAGAGAACAACCTAAAGGCAAACAGAACGCCAATCTAGGCAGATAAAGGAAAGAGGGAGTATTACAAAAGGATTTGTGAAAGACACTCCAATTTGAGGCCACGTACGCTTGTAGTCACAAAAAAATTCAAAATCATTGATCTTATTTGAGAAAACTTTTATTATCCAGAAAAATAAATGTGAGAAAACTTTGGAGTCCCATTCTCCCCGAGAAGCCAAAGAGGAGCTTTACAGACATTTGGCTTTGCCTCTCTTTAAACCACCAACCTAAAAGCTCTCAGCCCATTTTCAACACAAAATCAAAGCATTTGAAGATGCAATTCCAGCCTTTGTAAGCATTATGGTAAATGGAGAGAAAGATGATTGATACATTCAGTACTCTGTTTTAGCAAATCGAACACATATTCGGAGATTAAAAAACAATATATTTGGATTCATGTTTTGGACTCCATCCATAGTATTTAAGCTTCTGTAGGCTAGAGACCAGGCAAAAAGTTTTGTTTTCTCGGGACTTTTGCTTTTCCAGATTCGTTCGCTTAGCTTTTAATCCAAATAAGAATTACCGAAATGAAGGACTTTGGTATCTGACTTCACCAAGAAATGAGAACATATCAGATGAATCTGGAATCCAGAAAACTGAATCAGTGACAAGACTAGGGTGAATACCTTGGAGTAAAAACAGTCAACTCTCTGTCCATAAGACCTCTTCTCAGCTGAAGATCCATGTTTTGATAGATTAAGACTAGCAATTGTGAACATGGAAAGACTTAGAGTTTGTAATGGAATATACAGAAGCAAAGGAGATGCACAGAGGGCCGGAGGAGATCCAGACATCTTCCTAAGATCTGATTTTTCTATCATTACCAAGTTTAGAACTTGTATTTTCCTCGAAGGGGACCTGATTGCAAATATCCTTCCAAGGGCTACACAGACTCTGTCTAGCCTGATTCGGAATCCATTCACTGTTCGTGTGCCCATATTTACTCCCAGCTTTCCACAAAGCCATATACTCTTGAAATTATCTCACCAAGAGAGCTTTATCACTCCTAAAGTCGTCCATACCAAAAACTCCCGAATTTAGAGATGCTGTGACTTTAATCCGTCTCACAAGGTGGTTATTGTTGGAATCTAGACAAACCAAAATATTCTAAGCGCAAAACCTAAAGAACATAGATTACAATTTAGTGCTCCATTTAGATCCTCCTACACCCCAAACCTTTCTCCTCTCCAAAGTTCACAAAAAAAAAAAAAAGAGAGAGAGAATTATGCAAATCATGTTGACAGCAGAAGATAAAAAGAACTTAATAATAGAATCGTCCTAGATGAGAGGGTAAAAAATGAAAAATGCAGACACATTAACATAAAAATGTGATTACTGATTAGTTTAGCAGTCAACTGAACACCAAGTTTACAAAGTTACCACACTATCATTTTCCCTTTATAGATAAAAGATCACAAAAGAAAACCTGGCACACAGTTGAAGCAACATTCATCATCTCGTGTAAATGAATATACATTTGAGCAACGACATCCAGCAGCCTTTCTTCTGTCTGAAGATTTAACATTTCCTGAGCAGTAAATTACTCAAAAGTTAATAAGCTTCAACCAGGCGTTTTCTTCAATCTTTCATAAATAATAATACCTTTCAAAGAACTGCCACTATCCTTCAGCTGCCTAGTGTCAAAGGCTTGTTTCAGCTTGTAACCAAGACGAATTGATAGGGTACTTAACAATGCACCACCAGCAATTAGAACCCAATTTGGCCCCTCATTAGAAGAAGTTCTGGACTTCTGAGCTCTGGGACCTCTACTTGTTCTTGGTGTCATTTTAGGATCTTGAAGTGTGGCGAATGTTCCTAAATCATTCAAGCTCTACAAACAAAAGACAAATATTAAAATAATTTGATCTCCAGCAGGTTGGATCATGAAAAATGCATAAGAAAAATATGCAAAAAGCAAAACAAAAAAACAAAAAACAAAACCATGATCTATGAGCATTAATGACAGAATAATATTTTTATGAGTGCAAGGATAAAAAGAAGACCATATGGAGAACCTAATTATAATTTATAACCAAAGAGTAAAATGTCAATATGCGTGGAAATATAGAGGTTTCAATTTAAAAAAAATGTTGACGTAAGTCTTGAGAAAAATCACCAAAGTCAAAGAAACTTATAGAAAAAGCTAGGAAACACGGACACACATTTTTGGGCGAAGTATCTGTGTCGGACACGTGTCCGACACGGATACGCCCGGTCACGTATCAGACACGCAT